TGTAAATCAAAATATCCACACGAGTAGTCTTGTGCACAGAATCTGACCATTAATGAAAAGCTAGAGGAAGCGTTCCCATTTTTTTATGCTAGGACCCACATGTAGAGGTACTGTCTGTCCCAAGAGCCACCAAGTGAAATAAGACAAACTCATCAAAAAGTTTCATTCGTAAAGGCCTGAAACCTACAGTCCACTTTTACCCAATGTAATGTTCCTTTTTTCCAACAGATGCAGTAGTATATCATGACCAAAGAATGAAACAGACATAGACCTACACTTTTACATACTTAGTAAATGTGGAATGATAAAAAATCATTAATATTTAATTGGACAATACATGTCTTAGGTAAAGTCGTTTTGGTGCATGTTATCTGGTTTTTGTAGGCTAGTCATTTCTGCGCTCTCACTCATCACTAGCACTTCTCAAGGAACTGTAGGACATATAAATTGTGCCACTGGAAGGCTGTTACTATGGCAAATATACGATAACAGTACTGGAAGCACTGGGTCTTAGGATGGCATAAATGCAGAACTATTTTTTTAAACACTCTTACATTAAAAATTGAAAACGTCTTGTTTACAGAATTTCGCATAATACTGCTCCTCCTCCTAAAACGTTTATTACAGAAAACAAACGTGTGGCAAACAGAAGTACAATGCTTGGAGACTGTACTGTTCTCTTCAGAAGAAGTGCTTTTAGTCACAAGACTGAAATTCAGTACCATTTCATATAAGAGAATCTAACACTTATAGTTCTTTACCAGACAGATGAACATATGGCTCTTCAGTAGGTGAATATATGTTTTTTTTTTCCCCATTTGTCAATACTTCCCATTTGTTACCCATTTTCTGTTAAGGCTTTACAAGACTGGAATTTATTACAACTTCACATTAGAGAATTACCACAGTTCTTTGCCAGGCACTTGAGTGTATGACTCTTCATAGGTGGATTTTTTCACATAAGAATCTTTATAGTGCTGTAGCGATTATTTGCCTAATTTCCTCATTTCCCTTTCTTTCCCATTTTTTGATGATGGTGGTGGAGCACACTATTTAACATGTCAGTTCAAAATTTCCTGTAAGTCATGGCTTACGATATAATTTCCGTGGTCATTAAATCATTCGGTGACCCCTGTTCCCTGTGGATTGTCATCTTGACAGCCTGCAAGAGACCATTCCTCTTAGGATAGAAATGTTCTTTTTTTCATAATATATGTTGTTGGGAGTAGACATATACAGGAAATATCAGTGCTATATTATGATTAATACCATGTTTATCGAAGAATTAAACGTGTGTTCCATTACATCAGCTGTCATTACCACATCCAAAATTGTGACAAATGGACATACACCATTTTGGACTGATATTATTTATAGGTAGATAGATAGTTTCATTCAGCCAGCTTAAATGGAATATGATACTACCTCTGCTGCTTTGTGTCACTGTGTTTATCACAACAAACATGGCAAAGAGAAGATTAGGAAAAAAAATTAATGGCTAAGCATGGTCAATGTAAATACGATAAGACCATCTCCAAAAAGCTTGAAATACATGTGACCAATGTCGCCAATGTTATCAACAAGTTTAAGGTCCTAGGAACTAGATAATAATAATAATAATAATAATAACAATAATAAAAAAGAAGAAGAATAATTCAGGCCATTTCAAATTCATTAACTAAGATCACTTTCCCAGGTAAACAGCGCACACTTACCAGGCTGTTTACTTGGGATAAACGTAAACAGGACTCATCAGACCCGGTGACCTTCTTCTATTGCTCCTTTGTTCTGTTCTGACACTGATCTGCCCATTCGACAGTGGACAGGGCTTAGCATGGGCACTCTGACCGGTCTGAGGCTATGCAGCCCCATACACAGCAGGATGCAATGCAAGTGTGTTGCAAAATCTTTTCTGTAACCATCAATAAAAATTTCTCTGACTTGTGCCACAGTAACACTTCTCTTGGTTAGGACCAGACAGGATAGCCTTCGTTGCTCTAGTGCATCTTGGGCCCCCAACACCCTGTCACTGTCGGTGGATACTGTTATCATGTTCTCCATTCGGTATTCCAGGGTCTTCCATCCTGGAATACTCCACTCCTGAATAAAAGGCACATTTAAGCTCTTTTGAAGTTTGCTACAGAACATTTGGAGAAGCCTATAAATTAATAGAAGAATGTACTGTGGTCAGACAAACTTTTCAGAAACAATACATGCCATGTTTGGAGGAAAAATGCCATAACTACAGTAACGTTCAGAGGTAAAAGCATCAAAGTATGGGACTGTTTCTGTTTTTATGCTAACGGCAAAGTGCAAATTATCTAAGGTAAGATGAATGGAGCCATGCACAAGGAAATTCATCAGAAGAATCTTGCCATCCACCAGGACATTAAGAATGAGACAAATAAAGGCCCATTTAATCACTAGGCTTAAATTAAGTAAAGGTTGCACGACTAGTAGTTTTTATTAGTCGACTGGTCATTTTAAAAAGTAGTCGACTAGTTGTCGTTATCGTATATAATAAAAAACACGAGTGTTTTGGAGGTCTTTGAAAAGTATTTTTAGGAATTTTCAGCCTTAGGCACACTGTCCACAGCAGTACACAGACTGTTGGTTGTAAACTGCATACTAAATTCACCACAGCTCTCAGAATCTCACCACTCACAGAGAATTTAAACTGGCTCTAACTATCCTTGCATCTGCATATCCATGGTAAACAAATGATTGCTTATCAAGCCAAATGCTAGTAGCAAGCAGATGTATCTCTGTAGATAAACCTTTCGGAGTGAGAGATGGGCTTAGTTGCTGAACCAGAAAACAAAGAAAAACTCCCTAAACGCAAGAGGAAGGAACCTTGAGAGGTACCAAGACTCAAAAGGGGAACCCATCCTCCTCTGGTCAACACCAGATAGCGAAACAAAACACAAGAGCAAAATAAACAGAGGATAAGATTTCACAACTAATAATATTCACTAGTTATATTAATTAAAATATTGCATATAGAGAAAAACGAACCAGCCTGTTATCGGACAGAATTATTTAGATTAAACAGTAAAAACCGGTAACTGCTGTTAGAGGCCAGTCTGAGTATCAATCACTGTTACCAGTAAATGCAAATGTCTACTGTTAAGGAGCATACTACAGTGAAAAAAAAATCACCGTCAATGACTACCGTTAGAAGCCTACAGTGATGATCTGTTAGTATGTAAATGAGAAAAGATTTTTTGTTCAACCAGCGTGGCTTGCCAAGCTAAGTCATATTAGCATTATGTCAATTTGACTATAAGAAAGCTCACTAGCTCCGCATGCTGATGTGACCCGGAGTTGCACTGGGCGTAGGCATGTAATTAATCACCGCTGCATGCCAGAGAGAGACTGTTGAGTAAGCTATTCTGCTGAGTACTCATTCCCCCCTGAATTTTGCTGGTTATATACATGTATGCATGTTATCCTGAGCTTTAGATCACAGATTATCAGTAATTTGCCTCACGTATCCTGGGATTGTTGTGTTAATTTCAATTTCCCCAATAATGCTGTGATGTAGCACACGTACATGTACACTATATTGCCAAAAGTCTTCACTCACCCATCCAAATCATTGAATTCAGGTGTTCCAATCATTTCCATGGCCACAGGTGTATAAAACCAAGCACCTAGGCATGCAGACTAGCTTCTACAAACATTTGTGAAAGAATGGGTCACTCTCAGGAGCTCAGTGAATTCCAGCATGGTACCGTGATAGTATGCCACCTGTGCAACAAGTCGAGTCGTGAAATTTCCTCGCTACTAAATATTCCACAGTCAACTGTCAGTGGTACTATAACAAAGTGGAAGTGATTGGGAACGACAGCAACTCAGCCACGAAGTGGTAGGCCACGTAAAATGACAGAGCGTGGTCAGCAATTGCCAGGAGAACGGTACTTGTCTGACTGCATTGTGCCAAGTGTAAAGTTTGGTGTAGGGGGGATTATCAGGAGTTGGGCTTGGCCCCTTAGTTCCAGTGAAAGGAACTCTTAATGCTTCAGCATACCAAGAGATTTTGGACAATTTCATCTCCCAACTTTGTGGGAACAGTTTGGGGATGGCCCCTTCCTGTTCCAACATGACTGCGCACCAGTGAACAAAGCAAGGTCCATAAAGACATGGATGAGCGAGTTTGGTGTGGAAGAACTTCACTGGCCTGCACAGAGTCCTGACCTCAACCAGAAGCCAGGCCTTCTCATCCAACATCAGTGTCTGACCTCACAAATGCGCTTCTGGAAGAATGGTCAAAAATTCCCATAAACACACTCCTAAACCTTGTGGAAAGCCTTCCCAGAAGAGTTGAAGCTGTTATAGTTGCAAAGGGTGGGCCAACATCATATTAAACCATATGGATTAAGAATGGGATGTCACTCAAGTTCATATGCGTGTGAAGGCAGACAAGCAAATACTTTTGGCAGTATAGTGTAGCTGCATATAGCGTATAAGGTGGCGTTTACAACTGCTCACTCAACTACTACCATTATTCCTGTGCTCTACACTTTATGTCTGTGTCAGCTCTATTACTGATTGTCATCGTTTTTCGGTACCTTGCTCAAATTTCTTCTGTATTTCTTCGGTATCTTGCTCAAATTTCTTCTGTTATCTCAGTGAATCCCAAGTATCATTCATTCTCTAATCGGAGTGATCCATATTGAGTTACCTCACCAGTCAAGTTTATTTCGAGGGTAACACCTATATATATATAACGCCTATTGGAATAGTTAGCATTTTAGCTGGTGCGAATAATTTGCTGTAGTGATTGAGCTAGGTGGATGTAGAGCTGCCATCGTAATACCTTTATGCCTGAGTCTGAAAGCCTTAATCTGAAAGTTAACTCAAAAACCCATGAATTTTGCTTTGTGGTATCTGAAAGGCCTCAGAGAAAGATTAACCCAGACCATGATTGAGAAATATGGATATAACCCATATTTTTAACGAGTTGAATGATAATTTGAATCTGTTGTTTTGTGGTCTAGGGAGGAGAGCATAACAGTGGTCAGAAGACAAGTGTGAAATCATTGAAAGTGGAGAAACAAGAGAAGCAGGAGGTGGAGATCAAACAGTTTATGACTGTGTCGGAACTTGCACAGGCAATGAACAAAAATATAGGTCAGTGTAGATGGTTCAACTATGTTTAGTTTTCAATGATAATTTCATAATTTTGTAAATGCAAGACTCCCATTTCTCAACAAGCAAATCAATACATATTCTATTAAGTTTAGATATTTTTAGAACCTTTTTCAACATTGTTACACCTCTGCAGATCATGTATATGAAGCCCTACTCAACACGTCAGTAGACCTAGATGATCTGGAGCCAAACACTATGTTGGGGGAGAAGTGGATAAAGGAGGCAATAAAGAGATGTGGAATGAAGTACAAATGGGCCAAGGTAGTGGAAACCAAAATCAGAGAAAACAAGGACATCCAGAGACAGTAAGAAGTTATTGGATTCAGGATTATAAATTTACCACTTTCAGTGCGTATGTGTCTAGTAAGTGTCTAGTGTGTTCTGTCGTAAAACAGATAGTTGCTTTAATAGTTTTTCATCCTTAATTTATTATTAACGTATGACTGTTACTAAGCAATTAAGTGTGGATGGATTTTGAGTGTATGTATGTATGTATGTGTGTATATATATATATATATATATATATATATATATATCACACACACACACACACACACATATATATATATATATATATATATATATATATATATATATATATATATATATATATATATATATGTATGTATGTGTGTGTGTGTATATATATATATATATATATATATATATATATATATATATATATATACACACATACATATATACACATATATAATGAATGGAAATTTTTTGAGCATACTGTTTTTCTTGGCAGACCTCCTCCAGATCTTGCTCATTTAGTGAATCGACCTCCAGTAGTAACCATTATGGGGCATGTGGATCATGGGAAGACCACACTGCTGGACAGCCTTAGGAAGAGCCAGATTGCTGCACAAGAGGCTGGAGGCATCACACAACACATTGGAGCCTTTCTAGGTAGCAGCCTTGCAGGATTATAGGTCTTTAAAACATTGTAGTCCTCAGCAGCACACATGTAACATTTATCTTTTTTACAACAAAGAACATTTTAAAATTACTTTAAGATGCAAGTTTAAGTAAAGCAAGATTTCAATTTGGTTCTTGTCCAGTCCAGCTGCCCTCTGGTGAGATGATCACATTTCTGGACACCCCTGGACATGCAGCATTTTCTGCCATGCGGGCCCGTGGAGCCCTGATTACAGACATAATCATTTTGATGGTTGCAGCTGATGATGGAGTGATGAACCAAACCATTGAATCCATACAGCATGCCAAGAAAGCCAAAGGTAAGAAGCACTTCTTAAACCTTACAGAGTACACATTTGGTTGTTAATTCTCATTGGATGGTGTCGTTGAACAACTTCATTCAAAGTCTGTTAATGCAATATGCAATCTCAGCATGTTCTCATAATAATAATTGTGCCAATATATTTTTCTCTAGTGCCAGTCATTGTAGCAGTGAATAAATGTGATAAGCCTCAGGCAGACCCCAAGAAGGTGAAACGTGATCTCCTGGCCCATGATGTTGTGTGTGAAGAGTTAGGAGGAGATGTTCAGGCTATCCATATATCTGCTTTGAAGGTGTGTGTGTGTGTGTGTGTGTGTGTGTGTCCTTACAATAGCCAAATAAAATCATATAGTGAAGTGAGCATTATATATCTATAGGGAGAGAATCTTTTGGAGCTGGCTGAAGCCATAGTAGCACTTGCCGAGGTGTTGGAGCTGAAGGCTGACCCCTTAGGCCTCACAGAGGGCACCGTCATAGAAAGCCGTACAGACAAGGGCAAAGGGTGCGTATTCAAATGTGTTCCTAAATGTAGCAGCTGTTTTAGTAATTCTGATTTAGTAATTCTGATTCCTATTCTGATTAAATAAGACAATCACATTAATAAGAAATTTTACCATTGCTTTATATGTTATTATAATAAAACTTTATTCATTTTCATTTTAGTTTTTTTAAAATGCTCAGAGTGCTTAACAAAAAAATATATAACTTTGAAAAGATAAAAGCACTAAGCTCTAAATTAAAATTACAGCATAATTACAAACAGTACAGAATGAGCCACAATATTCTAAGCATATGCTAGCCTAAAAATATATATTTTTAATCTGGATTTCAAAACACATATCAAGCCTGCATCCCTAAAATATTTTCTGGAATACTTTTCCTGATTTTAGCAGCTATATAAGAAAATCACTTTCTGCAAACAGAGCTGGAAGCCGGTGTATTGCATTCTGAACTAGTTGAAGTCTGTTTAGAGAGACAGCAGGGCAATGAGCCAAGAACATGTTACTATAGACTATGACAGTAGTACATAGGAATATGTTACTGTAGACTACTACAGTAGACTACAATCTGTTAGTTATGAAAGCATTGACTATTCTTTTGGTATCTTGTAGGGATAACATACCTTATTTTAAGTTTCTCAAGTAGTAAAATGATGTCTTGGAGATACTGATTTGAGACTCAAATGATAAAAGCCATTGTTATACCAGTGCCTTTAACTGTAGCTTTTCATTGTACTGAGAAACCATTAAGGTAAAACCTTATTAGTATTAGGTCCCAGAAGTAACGAACAAAGTTCTGCAGGAGGACGTTCCTGGTCATCCAGGCTTTGGTATCTTTAATACAGTCTTCCATTATGTCTAATTCCATCATTAAATTTGGTTGGACTGACATGTATAACTGAGTATTATCAGCATAAAATTAAAAGCCTTTCTTGTTAAGGAAAAATTATATTGGCTAATTTACTTAGGGTGTTACAAAATGTTGCGTAGCAAGCCAATATGCCTGTCAGCAGGAATGCCTTTTCTTGCCTTGTTATGCAAATAATGCAAGCACAATAATGCTAGAAGCATCTTGGTGCTTTTGCAGACCTGTGACCACAGCGATAATTCAACGGGGTACTCTGAAGAAGGGCTGTATACTGGTGGCAGGGAAGGCCTGGGCTAAAGTGCGCTTGTTGTTCGATGTGAACAACAAAGCGGTGGCAGAGGCGGGGCCAGGCACTGCAGTGGAGATTGTTGGTTGGAAAGAGCTACCTTCTGTTGGCGAGGAGATTCTTGAAGTGGAGTCAGAGGTCAGATAAGATTCTTTGTATTGTTTGGACATTAACTGTCCTACGTCTGTCTACATTCAGCTGAGTAAACTTTACCAGAGACTGCAGACAAGCACTGTAAAACATATGAAATGTAAATATTGAACATAATCTAAAACATACTTTTTACCCAAACCAAGAAAGCATATACTGTAGGGATTGATCCATATGTTTTTTCAGGGCCGATACTGATTAGAAGTCGGAACACGGTTCCTATACAACATGAAAATTAAATGAACAAAGTATTTAAATTAGCCTTCCAGATGGTATAAAAGCCTTCAGTCTGTTCCCCTGTGTTGGTAATGCTATAAAACAAAAGCACAGATTATCATTCTAAAGGTAGTGTAGAAATCCATCAACATGTACCTTTAAAAATAACAAAGAGCAACTTACCACCAACCACTAAAGAGAATGTAATAGGTGAGCAGTTGACAACTTTTAGCAGGGCCTCAGATTGGATGCCTCGAGACTTGGGCACTGTGGAGGGCAGAGATACTTAAAGTGGAATTCCACCGATTTTTCAAAATTACTGTACAATTCAGTGGTTGAGATACAGACATTCAAATTGTTTTAATGTGAAATGGTTCATTTGCAGAGAACTTACATACTCATGTCTTTACAGTGATGGTGACCAGGACTCCTGATGTCTACAATGCAAATGTAGCCATTTTATTTACTATTCAAAACCACCAGTGAACGTACATGTGTCTTCTGAGTTTTTATGTAATGTTGATGATGGTAAAACAGTGGTAAATCTGAAAATTCTTTGAGGACTATTTTGCCTTAGAATACCCTTCATCTATCCCTCCACCATGAATTTATTAAGTACATTTAAACCAAAACTTTATCACAAAGTTGCTGTAAAACAATGTCTCTGATATAAGGCAGTGTATTCATAACCATTGTGCATAATACCTTTCTGGAAGGAAGCTTTTAGAGACCTTTAACTGCTCAGATGTCTGATTGCTATCATCATCATTGTAAACAATTCTGATTCTGTAAGTCTCTCTAGAACAAAGCACTTCATACCAAACCACTCTGCATGAATTTGTTGACATGTTAACCATTTAATTATGCAGAAAATTTGAAAAATCGGTGGAGTTCCCCTTTAAATCACAGAGCTGACTTGAGGTATGTTGAGAAGCTTTATTTTCCTGTATATTATTATTTGGCACTTAAAAGCTATTGGCACCTGATATTTTTTTTCTTTCAGGAGCCAGTGGCTCCTCAAGCTAGTTTTTTTTTGTCTGGATTCCCGTTTAGTCACAAATATAATGCCCTTCAAAAGCATTGTTCCACAAGCAGTCAACCAGCATAGACAGTGCTACTTAAAAAGGCATGCATATCCAAAATTAATTTACAGATGCCAGAATGCAACCAAACTAGGAAAAAAGAAGAGTACAGTATTTTCCCATGTACACCTTACTCTAACCAAATAAATATGGTGTTTCAGGCAGGTTTTGAGCTGCGTGCACAAGTCATGTTGTTTTGCTCTAAACTAGACTAGACTCTAAAATCTATCACCAACAGCAGTCATATCAAGCTGTGGCCACAAAAATGAATGACTTGTGTGACTGTGCTGAACAACCTCGGCATGTTCTTACCTTTCCACGCAGTGTAGAAATGAATTCACACACAATCTTTTTACCCACGTCTCCTACAAACACACAGAGGTGATGAAGAGCATTTGGTTTTACTTGACACATTTTGAGCAATCTATTAATCCGAGAGTAACCCATGCTGATAATTCGTCAACCCATAATATAGTCAGCAGCAAATACGGTGTTATAGGACTGTGCTTATAAGAACCCCTATTTGAATTTTTAGCAAAGGGCTCGGGAAGTGGTAGAGTGGCGTACGTACATGGAGGAGCAGAACAAGCTCAAGGAGGACCAGAGAGCCATTGTGGCTAACCAGAAGCAGCACCAAGAGAGCTATAAGAAAGAGAAGGAGAGACTAGCCCATCTCAGTTGGAAGCAGAGAAAAGCTGTTCTATACCGGGCCAACAAGCATCGCATGGCCTGCAGACCCAGTGAGAGAGCCGAGACTGAGGAGCTCAGTCTATCTCTTATTGTCAAGGGTGAATTTCTTCATACAGTTTTATAGATTGTTTTTGTTTTGAGATTTTAAATGTTCATTTACTAGTATCATAAAATGCACATAATAATTAAAATTAAATTTCTAACCATATCTTGATGAATTTAGGTGATGTTGAGGGCTCAGTGGAGGCCATTTTGAACATCCTTGAAAGTTACGATGCAGATGAACAGTGCCAGCTGAACATAGTGCATTTTGGCGTTGGAGACATCTCAGAAAATGACATTAACTTGGCAGAGGCATTCTCAGGTGTGATCTCAACAAATACAACCAATTTTCCTATTGTTTTTTTTTTTAAGTTGTCTTGGAAATATTGGTGTAGTAAATACTGAATACTAAGATGTGCTGAAGGCAACTAATGCATTTTTCACTGTTTTCAAAATTATGTATGTTTTTATGTTTGCCTAATTTGTTTTCTGACTTTTCTTTTTGTTGTTCTACCATTGACCAGGAACAATATACAGTTTTAATGTTGCAGCTAATAAATCAATTCAAGATATAGCTGCTAAGAAGCAAATACCCTTAAAGATGCATCGTGTCATCTACCATTTGATAGATGACCTGAAAGAAGAACTTGGCAGCAAACTTCCCCCAACCACTGAAGAGAAAATAATAGGTGAGGTGTTGACCCTTTTAAATCACAAATATAGTGCCCTCCAAAAGAACTGTGCATTGTCTATTCAGCAGGCAACAATCCCCTTACTCTCAAACCTGCCACTCTTGGTTTCCCATGTAAAGGGCAGAGTTGCTGGTGCACAAGGCTTTTTAAACAGCAGGCAACAATCATGGTATTCGTAGTTTATAAAACTTGTCCATCATGAACTGCCATATAATCATGTATATTGAAAATAAATAAAAGCAAAACAAATTCAATTCAATTCAAATGTTTTTGTATAGCACGTTTTACAGTGCTCCAAAACTCAAGGGGGAATCCTCCCCCTTTTTTTGGAAATATGTCTCGAGCAGTTGTCATCTGCTGTCTGAAAAGCTCTTAACAATTTTGTGATCACTTCATTTCTTTTTCCTCATCTCACTTATTAATTAAGTGTTTTTGTCCCTTTAGGTTGAATATTCACATTTTTTCTGATGAGGTTCTAATTTAGTTTCTCTTCCTCTAAACACAACCTTTGTTTGTGCATTTATAATTTTAGCCAAACTGATTGTAAAGCGCAAAACCAAACGCAAACAGTTGCAACATAAATCACATTACTTATTTTTGAATTTGATAGAAACTAGGCTAAGAGGTGCTTTCATTCTAAAAGGAAGAATTCATAAAGCCAGGAATAAAACAGTTTTAAATGTAAATACAACAATAAAACAATAGTTCATACATTTGACATTTTTACCTATTATTAGTCTTTTCTTCTTTACTCCAAGCTGATTTTTGTCGTACAACAGTACATCGCTTTTATTATCTTAATATAATAATAATAATTATTATTATTATTGTTATTATTATTATTTTAATAACAATTAATAATTATTACTTTTATTGAAGCCAAAAATAATAATGTTTTACACATATAGCATATATTCATATGTGTCAAAATTTTTGCTGAATATATATATATATATATATATATATATATAGTCATCCATTATTTGACATGTAGATAGCACAGCTATGATATTTCTAGTTACAGTCCTGTTTTGTTCCTCCTAACCCACAGATGGTTTATACAAGCACAGAGCTCACTCCTCATGCAACTGCATATAATGATGTTCAACACAGTCAGTAATACAGATACCCTGCTCATGGTATACCCTGTAGTCATTATCAGTCCTCTTCTTACAGGGATTTAGAATGGAGCACACAGGTGAGGTTGTCTGGGTCAACAGATGCATGAGTGGCACAGGGAAGTAAGACTTTGTAGCACAATAGGAGGGTGTGTGGCACATGTAGGTGGTTCTGTGGTAGTTAAACTGGTCTGGAGGGGTGGCAAGCAGAGAGATACCCAATCAAAGTCAATCTTGCGCTATCATCAAACTGAACAGGCAGTTGTTCAGCTGGGCAAAAAAAACACTCATAGTTCTGTTGGAGTGAGTGGACATGATATATACTATATGGCCAAAAGTATGTGGATGCCGGACCATCACACCCATATGAGTTGGACATCCTATTCCAACATATGGTTGTAGTTATGTTAAAAGGGGGGGGGTGCTGGAGCTGCAGTCCATTGTGTTTTTCTTGAAAATACTCTACTGGCTTTCCCAAAACAGTAATTGTTTGGTCTCAAGAGGTCTCTAGTTTTCAGGTTCACAGTGCTTTTGAATTAGCGTCATCACATTCAATAATAATGAGAAGTCTGACTTGATATCTACTTCTTTGTCATTGGTTTAACAATTGGAGTTTAACCACTCAGGTCGCTGATGCTTGGCCAAATATACGCTCCGTGATCCATGAGTTGAAATCAAATGCAAATCTTTACTATTATTTTATGGCTCGTCTATTGCTTTTAACAGCAGCTTGTGCTGAGAATCTGTAAAGATTCAGTTGTTAAAACAGTTCTTATGCTGACTGTACGGCGCCAAAGTGCCCCTAGACGGAAGGAAAGCCAGCTTTATTAATTTATTCCCTCTGTTCATCACAGAATGCATTTCCATCAGCAGTGAACTGAGCAAGGGTTTGTATAGAACCGGACTGAGATGTTTTTTTTGCCAGACTGGTTCAGCTGTTTGTTGCAGACCCAAACGCAGGTGTTCACACATGCCAAAACGGAGCGAACTAAAGAAAAAGGTGTGATAAATCCACACCAAACGATGTACCCTGAGAATCCTTGCCCTCTCTGGTGAACTGGTGAAACAGATGACGTTTAATTAGCCCACTACTGTGACATTTTTATTTGTACGTTTCTATTAATATTTATGTTGGTTATAATTTGAAAATGTTTAATTCTTAGATTTTTAAATTATTAATTTAATCTTTTTTCCACTTACGTTTTTATGACTTACAGTGATGTTACTTGCCCACTACGAATTACTGCCTCCCCCTGAGTACAGGCCCATGGCTCATAGGTTGAGAAACACTGTTTTACACAACTCCAGTCGAAATTTTGTAATTTTTGTACTGATGTTGCTTCCAGAGGCCGTTTAGAACTCTCTAGTGAGTGTTACAATAGACGATAAGCCATTTTTACATTAGCGGGTCAGCGCTCAGCGGCCTCGCTCTGTCGATTTGCGTGGTTTACTGCTTTATGGCTAAGCTGTTGTTGCTTGTAGGCTTTCTTTTCACAGTATAATAGCACTTGCATTTGACCAGGGCAGATCTAGCAATGCAGAAATTTCACATACTGAGATGTGGAACGAAGGTGGCATCCTATGACAGTGGCACATTTAAAGTCACAGGGCTCTTCAGTATGAACAGTTTGCTAATGATTGTATATGGTGATTTTTTTCAGCACCCGAATTCTCGTTCTCGAAATCACCTGTAAAAAAAAAAAACAAAAAAAAACAATAATATTTGTGTTTCATAATTAACCACAGTTTAAGTATATTCATTACTCTATAGTTCAAAATGCAGTACCAGTCAAAAGTTTGGACACACCTTCTCATTCAGTGGTTTTTCTTTATTTTTCTTACAACCCCATTTTCAAAAATGTTGGGACGTTCTGCAAAATGTACATAAACACAGAATGCAATGATGTGCAAACCTTTGAAACCTCATATGTAATTGAAAATAGTACAAAGACAACATATCAAATGTTGCACCTGAGGAATTTTATTGTTTTTTGAAAAATATATACCCAGTTTGAATTTGATGACAGCAGCACGTTTCAAAAAAGATTCAAAATGGCCATATATTTTTCAGAAAACAATAAATATTTCTTTGTACTATTTCAATTATATATATAGGGCTTTAATAATATGGACATCGTTGCATTCTGTTTTTATTTACATTTTGCACAGCATCCCAACTTTTTTGGAAACAGTGTTGTATTTTCTATGTTGTAAAACCCCAATTCCAAAAAAGTTGGGACGCTGTGTAAAATGTAAATGAATGTAAATAAAAACAGAATACAATGATTTGCAAGTCTCATAGACCCATATTTTATTCACATAACAGAGCAAATATCAAATGTTGAAAGTGAGACATTTTACCATTTCATGAAAAATATTAACTCATTTAGAACTTGATGGCAGCAACGCATCTCAGAAAAAGTTGGGACAGGGCCATGTCTACCATTGTGTACTATCCCCTCTTCTTTTAACAACAGTTTATAAAGGTTTGGAAAGTGAGCATTGTTTTGCTGAAATATGCAATGCCTTTCCTGTTGTCTAGATGGGAGCATATATTGTTCTAAAATCTCTATATACTAGCTGTGTTCCAAAGCCTAGGCTGCAGCCAAGGTAGTCTGCATTTCTCGGCCGCTACATCATAGGAGGCTGTTTCTAAGTGAAGATTCCTTCGTATAAAGCCTAAAAATGCAGACTACATTCGGAGTGAATTCTTCCCGGCTATCAGTTACCCACAGTTCTCTGTGCATGAATGATGTGAAGGAGGAAAAAAAAACATGAAAATGACAGAAAACAAAGCTGTTGGAGCAGAGCTTGTTTTAAAATGTAAGTTGTTCACATACTTCAGTTAGTCTTTGTTACCTTAGAAAGTATAAAATTAATTTTTTTCAATTAATTAAAGCATTCGCCCACTTTATTTAAAAGTATTTGTATATATGTAGTTTATCATATAAGAACATCTCGCCCATTACTGTGATAAGATGAAAAAGCAACAAACACAATGCAGCAGGCTCCATTTTCTCTCACCAATTCCCCTCATGAGTTTCGCGCTGCTCTAACGATATCACCACGCAGCCTCGTTAGGATTGTTCCATTTGTGTGACCAACAGGCTACTAAGGAGGAGTCTTCGCAGGACAGTCATACCGAGGACCCACACTACCTTGGCTGCAGCCTAGGCTTTAGAACGCAGTTATAGTTTAGCATTAATAGTGCCTATCCAGATGTGCAAGCTGTCCATACCATAGGCACTAATGCAAGAGATGCAGGCTTTTGAACTGTGCGCTGACAACAAGCTGGACGGTCCCCCTCCTCTTGAGTCCGCATGACACTGCATCCGTGGTATCCAAAAAGAATTTCAAATTTTGATTCATCTGACCACAGAACAGAAGTTTTCCATTTGGCCTCCTTCCATTTATAATGAGTTTTGGCCCAGAGAAGATGGCAGCATTTCTGGATTGTGTTGACATATGGCTTCTTCTTTGCATTATAGCTTTAACTTGCATTTGTGGATTGCATGGCGAACTGTGTTCACAGACAATTGTTTCTGGAAGTGTTCCTGAGCCTATGCAGTGATTTCCAGTACAGAATCATGCCTGTTTTCAATGCAGTGCCGCCTGAGGGCCTGATCACAAGCATCCAATATTGACCGTCAGCCTTGTCCCTTGCGTACAGGGTTTTCTCCAGATTCTCTGAATTATTTGATGATATTATGTACTGTGGATGGTGGGACACAGTTTTTCACAGATTTGTGAACCTGCATCTCTGCTTCTGAGCGACTGCTGAGAGATGCTCTTCTTATACCCAGTCATGTGAGTTAGTAGCAAATTGCTCCTCCAGCTGTTTTTTATTAGTACCACTTATTTTTCCAGCCTTTTGTTGCCCCGTCCCAACTTTTTTGAGATGCATTGCTCCATCAAGTTCTAAATGAGTTAATAATTTTCATGTAATGGTAAGACGTCAAAGTCAAAGTGAACTTTGTCATTCAGACTATACAAAAAGCAGTGCACAGCTGAACGAGATTGCGTTTCTCCAACGCCGATGTGCTTAATGAGGCTGTCACGGTCTTCCAGAAGTCTTCAAGGAGTTCTCACTGGTGCTGAGCACTTATTGGCTGCTTTTCCTTCATTTTGCGGACCAACTCATCCCAAAGGGGTCAGGTGATTGTGGAGGCCAGGTCATCTGACACAGCACTCCATGCCTCTCCTTCTTAGAGGTGTGTTTGTTGAAAAACAAATGATGGTCCCACTAAGCGCAAACCACATGGGATGGCATGTCACTGCAGAATGCTGTGGTAGCCATGCTGGTTAAGTGTGCCTTGAATTTTGAATAAATCACCAACTGTGTCACCAGCAAAGCACCCGTCACACTATCATATTCTGGATGGAAGACGTTTGTTTGAATAAGTTTTCATGTTTTGAGTGGGAAGGCAAATCATGCAGAGCTGGTATATTACTTGCTAAAGTAGCTAGTTTTCTAGTGAGATTGAGAGAGCTACCTTTCTAGCTTGTGTGGATGGCAGATGAATTCTAAAAATAGTAAAAGCATGAAAAGCATATGCTTATATTTAAGTGTCATTGTAAGCTTCTGTGCAAGAGCAAACAGCATATCAGATTGTTTAGTGCCCCTGATATGTTTAGTATGGTTCCTTCATTTCCATAACAACATCGAAACACCCACCAGTGGTGAGCAGAGAGATACAGTGCGATGGAATGCAGTGAGAAAAAGTGCAAGTGGACATGTACAGTTACAGCTGTTGAAAGTTATTGCTAGCTAATCTGTCTTTGGTGCACTCATTCCTGTGTCTTCTCAGTTTTTTTTTTTTTTAGTATTTGTTCGTGCCATATTCTAAGGTGTTTTATGTTCGCGAGAGGACACTGGGTCCAGGTCTCAGAGCTTGAGGCGTTGTAAATACAACATGGATCACAGTCACACGCATCTGAATAGCCTTTTTGGATAAAGATCTAGATTTGCATGCGGTTCTGACAGTCATGTACAACTACTTGTGACTAAGAGCCCAAAAAAACAAACCAGAATGTCAAGACACAGTTATGTTGAAGCTAGGGTTGTGAATCTTTGCGCTGACAGTTTATTGATAAGATTCATTAATTGTTAGTTTTCGAATTGATTTTATTTGAAGTGATTAAATTAAGTAAAGAATGTCAATCATTTTACTTCCTGATGAAGCACTCCCTTTAAAACTGAACCATCTCCCTGCTTATTTGCAAAAATATAAATAAATAGAAGAATTAGAAAATATATATTGAAATAATTACTGAATACTGTCTGCTTCTAAAATACTTCTTACTCTGACAGCAGACATTTTTGAAAGAGTATTTTTGAGCTGCATAAAAATGAACTTGATTTATCAAAACTTCTTGGTACATTACATTTTGCCTCATGGCACACCAGTGGAGAGCCATACCTTGCTGTCCATACCTGGCATACCAACTTTCGTGAATGCTATGTGCCGCTAGGGGGCATTTGTTAGTGTACTGAGTGTGGGACTTGCACTTGGACAGGCTTTGACTATGGCTTTGGTCACTGGGCTAGAAACACAGCCGCTTGGTCTTCACCATTCTGTTGGGACTGTGAGTTCTGGATGACTGCCAGAGTTGGTAGTCACTCAGAATCTGTAGGTAGATTCTTAGACAACAATAATTGTGTGAATACGTCTCACATCACTACATATGTTCATACAAGACATTGACCTGCGTGCAGTCCACTGTGCTTGAATAGTACCACAAGCAGTCAACTTGAAGAAAACTCAGTTAAATTTGGACTAGTGTTCTACATTGTAGAGATTTGAACTCTTTCATCTTTGTATATAGGAGAGGCTTCAGTTCTGGCCACATTTGACGTAACTGTAGGAAAGAAGAAGGTACCTGTGGCTGGCTGCAGGGTTCAGAAGGGCCAGCTGGACAAGAAGATGAAATTTCGACTTAACAGAGGAAAAAAGATTCTCTGGGAAGGTATCTTTCTTTCTTTTTCACTGAAGCAGCAACTATTGTCCCAATCAATAATTGCTGAAACAGCATTTCAGGTACCCTATGGTACCCTATAATTCTAAGTTTAGAGGGTAGGAAACATGATAAAGCCCACAATTTAGTGATTGAATGTTTAGGGTAGTTGTAGTCCATCAAGGTCTAAGGGTCTTGCGAAGTACAGCATGCCCAACAGTTATGTAGTTTGGAGCTGTTATGTCATGTAAAGCCTGCAGTGATTTGGGTTTTAATCATTTGTCTGCTGGAAAAAAAAAACTAAACCCAAAGATGTCCAGGGATTTAAAAGCTGAGGCAACCCATGTTGTGCTGCCTGATTTTGCTATGTTTAGCCTATTGTCTTCTGTAGAACTGATTAAATTAAATATCACATTATAAATAGCTATAGGCAAAAAAATGTTTAAGCAAAATATTTAGCTTGACAAAGTGAACTGTTTGATGGCTCTTCAAGGCTACTGGTGTCTTATCTCTACTGAATAATACATTTACTCTTGCACAACAACTAACTGTCCTGATTTTAACCTAAAATAACATTCTTTCATTCACTATAATAAAGAGAATCATAACTTCACTTAATTATTATTATTAATTATTAATTATACTTGTGGTATCTGTAAAGCAGCATAAGGGCATAAAGGAATAAACATACAAAATCTTATTGCAACAAAGGATAACACTACAGTTGAAATTATCCAAATTAGCTAAACTAGCACATTTACAGAAATGTTGAATAATGTGTATTGGTTGTCCTTATAAGTCTAAATCAGTTAGACTAAACATTCAAAAAGAATTTTCAGCTAAGCAACCTTTTATTAATATTAATATATAAGTGCATCTTATCCTGAAAAAAACAACGGTCACAGGTCTAAATGACTAGAGAATCTTTGCCTCTGTAGTCATAAAATCATTTGAGACTGGTATCAGTATGCATGTAGGACATGACAAACCCCCTTTTGGATCCCCTGCTGTTTGTCTATTGGGTCAACAGGTACATAGATAATGCAGTGAACATGGGACTTTGCCTCTTCCTTTAACACCTCGACCATCCAAAGACGTGCAAGAATTCTGTTTTTAGAATTCGGCTCAGCTTTTAATACTGTTTTGCCACAAATTCCCACTGTACACTTTCACAGCTCAGCCCGCCTGCTTCAACCTGCCAGTGACTCATTAGTCTCCTCACAGGCAGAGAGCAGCAGGTAAGGCCGGTAAAATTCTCATCAGGCACTTGAACCATCAGTACTGCTCCCTCACCCTAAAGATGTATTCTCTGATTACTCAGCCATGCTGTGGTAAAACTATTGTTGCCTTTAGCTTGCTGACTGGGGCTTGGACCCAAATTTTCTGTAAATCTACTTTGTGACAACGCCTGTTGTAAAAAGTGCTACATAAATACAATTTCAGTTGACTTGAGAGATGATGTTACTTGCTACTATCATGGACGTCCTTGCAAAAGATGTCATCTAGAAGGCATATGTTGCTTCAAAATGTACAACCCCATTTCCAAAAAAGTTGGGACGTTGTGCAGAATGTATATAAAAATAGAGTGCAATGATATGCAAATCATGTAAACCATAAACCAAATGTTGAAAGTGAGAAATTTTATTGTTTTTTGAAAAAAAATGCCTACTTTGAATTTGATGCCAACCATACGTTCCAAAAAACGTTGGGACAGGGGCATGTTCACCACTGTGTTTCATCACTACTGCACTAATGCACCGCTATACCATTATGAATACTGGCTTTTGAACTGTGCACTGATAACAAGCTGAGTGGTCTCTAGTCCATGATTTCCATGTACCATGAATGTTGATTCGTCAGACCACAGGACGCTTTTCCACTGCCCCTCAGTCCTTTTTAAATGAGCTCAGGCCCAGAGAAGATGGCAGCATTTCTGGATCCTGTTTATGTACAGCTTCTTCTTTGCGTTTTAGTTTTACCTTGCATTTGTGGATGCAGCGACAAATTGTTTTCACAGACATTGGTTATCAGAAGTGTTTCTGAGCCCCTGCAGTGATTTCCACTACAGAATCATGTCTGTTTTTAATCCAGTGCTGTCTAAGGGCCCAAAGATCACGGCCAGCAAATACTGGTTTTTGGCCTTGTCCCTTGCACACAGAGATTTCTCCAGATTCTTAGAATCTTTTAATGTTATAATGTACCGTAGATGATGAAAAGCAAAAGTTCTTTGTTATTTTCTGTTGAGAAACATAAAACTTTCACCTGCCTTTTGTTGCTCCCGTCCCAACTTTTTTGGAATGTGTTGTTGGCATCAAATTCAAAATGGGCATATATTTTTCAACATTTGATATGTTGTCTTTGAAATATTCTCAATTAAATATAGGGTTTAAATGATTTGCACATTATTGCATTTTGTTTTTATTTACATTTTGCACAGCATCCCAACTTTTTTGGAAATGGGGTTATATATCTTTCAGCGTTAATGGTAGATGTGCAAGTTTCTCAGTAATACACCCCCGAACTTTTACAACTCAGCCTGCCTGCTTCAGTCTGGACAGTCCTTTTCATCTTTGTCCCAGAAAACATGACATCTGTTATTTCTATGAACAATCAGAAATTTTGACTCAGTATACAGACAGCAGTATACATTTCCACTATGTCCACTTCAGTACATTTAAAATGAGCTCAAGCCCAGGGAAGTCTGTGGTGTTTCTGGATGTTGTTAACATATGGCTTCCAATATGCACAGTAGAGCGGAAGCCATACGTGTGTGGATAAAGTGATAAATGGAGTTTATTGACAGTGTAGTATTTCTGAGGCTGTATGTTGATGTCCATCACAAACATGATGGTTTTTAACGCAGTGCTGTCTGTGGGATCGAAGATGACTGGTATTAAGTTGTGATTTTTGGCCTTGCACATTACGCACAGTGATTTCTTAGGATTACCTAAAACTTTTGATGATATGAACTAGGACTGCAACAAACAACTATTTTGATAGTTGAATAATCTATCACTTGTTGAAATGAATAATCGATTATTCTGATTATGAATTGCTCAATTACCAAATAACTCTTATGTAGCTATCAGCATTTAAATTTAGGTTTAGGTTGTTTTATGCATTTGCTAACTAACAATGAAGACAATAAAGATTAATACCTAATTAAAAAATTCCCTGTTTTTAAGAACTTGCTTGCTAATTCAAAAGATAACACACAAACATGAGTGTGGCTCGCTTTCCCTCCATTATATAATCCTTTCCCGCTTTCTGGGAGCAATATTTTTGAAATAGTATTATTTTGAACCTTTCTTAACCTGCCACTCTGTAATGGTACTGAACACACTCCAGCAGCAATGTTGACCATTCCAAAATAGCCGTTGACGTGCCTGGCTGTACCCAGCAGCCATCTTCAGTCATAAACATGAGTTGTGTTCAAATTCGGTAAGCAATGACAAACGTTTGTGGCAAAATTATTCTCTATGAACAGTTCAATCTGAGCGACTTCGTGTAAACATTCCATTTTAATGTTAACCCTTCATCCAGCTGCCTTGTATGCTCCTGGAGAACTACCTCCTGAAACTGTTTGCAAGTGATGGCAAATGTTAGCGGAGAACTCAAAACAAACAGAAACTGCAACTGTTTGAAAACGTTCTTCTATGTTTGCCGAATTTGAACGCACTTGTTGCCTCAATGTTAGGACAACAATGCAGTTTTTAAAATGGTAAACGTACTTTGGAATGTGAATAGGCTTGTTTTAAACTGTACATGCTTCTCCGTTCCAACTCCATTAATGATTCCAAAGAACATGCATTTCAAAATGGAAAATGTTACAGCTCAGCTCATAGCATGAAGTATGATGGCTTTTAACATTAATATTAGCTTACTAGCTCACTAGCACAACCAGCTAAGGTCAGCTTTACAAATAGCATAACTGACAATTTTTTTGGAGTTAAGCGTGAAATTCTTCCACACTTTTCGCGTGTTTGTGTGCAAAATAAAATTTCACGTGTGTGTCAAGTCGAACACTGGAGTTCAGCCTGATCTTTTCAAGAGGAACCCTGTCTCTACAGCGTCACGCTACATGTAAAACAGTGTAGCCTTGCAATCTCTACACCCCAACATTCCCACACAAAGCCATTGCTAAGACAGTGGGACTCTAGCAAACCACAGTGAGAGCCATTATCCACAAATGTAAAAAACCTGGAAGTGGTGTACAGTGGTGAACCTTCCCAGGAGCAGCCAGCCTACCCAAATTTCACCAAGAACGCATGGACGTTTCTGGAAGATATGGGTCCTGTTACATCTGGCATAAAGCTAACACCACATGCCACCATAAGAACATCATACCAGCAGTCAAGCATGGTGGTGGTAGTGTGATGGTCTGCAGGACCTGGATGACTTCTTGTAATTGATTGATCCATGTATTCTGCTCTCTGCCAGAAAATCTTGAAGGACAATGTCCGAACAGGGTTTTGGAATAGCCGAGTCAAAGTCCTGACTTGAATGCCATTGAGATGCTGTGGCAAGACCTTAAATGGGCAGTTTGTGCTTGAAAACCCTCTGATGTAGCCAAATTAAAACAATTCTGAAGAGTGGGCCAAAATTACTCCACACCAGAATGACGGTGTCAATCCTCAGAATGTAAAAAAAGTATTGAACTGTAATAATCAGATTGGCGTTTGTTCTGAATGTAGAATGAATTTCTAGGAATGAATATAAGGTCTCTAGAGGTTGACACCAAACTACACCTCTATAAAAATATTTCTTTGAGTAAAAATTATTTACCACATCAACAATTATTGCATGATAGCTCTGATATTTATTGTAACATCACTGCTTATATAAAGAATTCCGTTTTCTGTAGCTTGCACAAATGAAACCCATAAGTGAAAAAGTAAGCTGTGCCCCTGCCTTACACCCTTTCACTCATGAACAGCATTGTTCGTGCTTGACACGCTGTTTTTATACTGTATTCTTTTTTGTTTTATTTTATTCCATATTGCTACCTCCTATCTGATTGCTGTATTCTGCACTTCAAATATTTTTATTCACAGTTGTATGCATGAATGTCTATAAGTATGGGTGGGTGTGTCTGTTAGTGTGGGTGTGTGTGGGTGTGTGTGTGTGTGTGTGTGTCACAGCGTGTATGCATGGTAGAGCATGATAGGTATGGATGTCTATTACTGTATATGTGTGGAATTTCTGTTTGGAATGTGTGGTTGTCAATTACAATGTAACCATGATTTGTGATTCTAAGAATGACATTTCATTGTGCATCCCTAAAAAAGACCTTTTTTATTATTTAGAATTGGTAGATATTTGACATAAATATTTTTCTCAAATCTGTGTGCCACAATTGTTGACACCCCTTCATTTAATACATTTAAGCCCCCTTTGCTTGTTGCCAAAAAAACTGTAGAACACAGTCCTACTGAAAGTTCCAGTAACATCTGGCAAACTTTAATCGCTTGAGTTTGTTGGTCCTTGATAGCAAAGGCTTTCTTCTGGCAGCCCCCCCCAGCCAACTTGTGGTTAAATAGGTGTTGTTTAATTGTAGTTTGGGAGATTTTCTGACCCCAAGACCTAACTAATGTCTGCAATTCCCCATCTCGGATCCTTGGAATTCTTTGTCCACTCGAATGATCTTTCTCACTGTTTGTGGGGTCAATATAGACATATATTGTCTTCCTGGTAGATTCTTAATATCTCCAGTTGTTTTAAACTTTTTTAATTATTGCCCAGATAGTGGAAATGGGCATTTTCTACTGTTAAGCTATTTTCTTGTAGTCATTTTCTTATTTCCTGATTTCTGCAGCTCAACGATCTTTTAGCGCACATCATTGCTGTATTCTCTGGTCTTTTTCATAGTGATGGATGAATAATGGAATTTAGCCTGTGTTTCATCTCATGTATATTCTCCAGTGAAACAGGAGGTCAAGGCTGATACACATTCATTTTAGATTTTTTTTTTTATTATTTATTTCTTGACTAGATTGTTTTTATTTTATTTTTTTTGTTCAGTCATTATACGTTTAAATAAAGGTTAGATTTATATATAAAATATAATTAGATTTATATATAAAAGTATTTAAAGTGCAGAATGCAGCAGCTGGATATGAGGTAGCAATGCTACAAAACAGTAAGTGCATCGTGAGTGTTACAGCATGAGGAAGTCTGGCGTCTGTTGTTTTAATCCTCATTTGACATTTTAATCCTCAAGTCCCTGCCTGAAAGGAGGAGCTGAAACAAGTGATGACCAGGGGGCAATAAGTCCTACTTCTGGAGGTGTACACATCAAGCAGGGTGGGTATATTAAGCCTTAAATGGCCAAGGCCCACCATTGGGCCTAAAGTTTTATTACACACTTCTGTAACCTAAGAATAGCCCAACCAGTTTGCACTGAAGTCCCTGTAGTTACTGTGCCTTAGTATTTAATAAGCCTGGGATTTTAAGGGATTAATACTACAAGTCTTTTCTGTAGATATGATTATGTGCTGTAGTTTGCTTGGTGTCACGAGAGTTGCACTAGACTGTGATAGAAGTGGTGGTGACAGACTTTGTAAGAGCTGTACAAAACTGAGTTAGCAGCCATTGAGGTAGGTTTGTGCAGGAAGTACTTCTTGTGCTGGGCTTTATTTATGATTGAGTTAATGCTGATGTGCCTCTTCAGGTCACTGGTTGTTCTTGTTCCCAGAAATGACTTTACAGCCATTATTCTTGTTGAGAATTGTGAGAGCTAGGGGCGATGGAGAGTCCACCACCGTTTCCATTGTTTTAAGTGTGTTCTAAGTTGTTATAATTGCTGTAGAGGACCAGTTGTACCACACATCTATTAGCAGACCCATAACCATCTCAGATGAGATCGATGACTGTAGTGTCATCTGCAAGCTGTAGGATTTTGATAGAGGGATCTTTGAAAATGCAGTCATTGGTGTACAGTGAAAAGAGCAGTGGGTACAGCATACACTCTTGTAGGAAAGCAGTACTGATTGTTTGAGTGCCTGATGAGAACTGCCCCAGCCTCATCTGCTGCTCTCTGCCTGTGAGGAAGCTTGTGATCGACTGGCAGATGGAGGCAGGCAAATAGAATTGCCAGAGTTTATTGTGGAGCAGTTCCAGAAGATCAGTATTAAATGCTGAGCGGAAGTCTAAAATCAGTTCAAAACCATGTTTACTGCATTGTCAAATTTATAATTTCACATAATTTCATTCTTGATCTTGATATTGAGATTTGTCAGTTTACAGTTCTGTTCATCATTCTAGAAGGATCTTACACTAGTTTTCTCCTTTATTCAGATTCTCTGTTTTCTACTCATTTAAAACCTGTGAAGGTACACGGGACAGGCATGTTAGAATTGTATTAGATTTTATACATATATCTGGAACCAAATGGATTTCCTATCTTATCTTTTGATTGTGAATCTATTTTTTAGCTAAACCTAAAATTTGACATTAGCAGTGTCTGCCTACAGCTTTAAAGAGCACTTGGAAAAATTACCAAATGCTTTACTGTTAACTTACCAAATAAAAGAAAATAACTAAACTTAAGACTTTATATTTACAGTTTATCAATACTGTCCAGACAGCCATTGAAAAGGCCGTAAAAACCTGTGAGTTGTATCAAGTCAGTATCACCAATGCCAATTTTAGAAGCTCCACTGCATCGCTGAGCAGCACATATTAAATGGAAATATTTTTAGTTCGAGGCTTTAAAGTGTCTGGATTGGCAGTTTGTTATAAGGTCCAATTTATGTAAATGCATTTGAAGTTTAGACTGCATGATTTCATTTCACACCAACATTCTTTGATATAACAGCAGTTATTGTGCCTTAGTTTGCTTTTGTTGTAGAAAGCAGCTGCCCCGCTGACTAAAATACCCAAAAAGCAGCTGGACTATGATACATCAGAAGTGATGCCTGCTAGCATAGACAGCCTAATTTTCAGCTAATCTTTTGCACTGTATATTATCAAATACTAATTGGCGCAGACAAACATAAAAAAACACAATACAAGGACCACTGAACCAACATTGCTATCCCCTGGTGCCATCTTAGATAGAATCTAAGCTGATTATTAAAATAATAGTTAGTTGCAGCCCTAAATCATAGCTAACGCAATCGTCTGTTGACTTTAGAGAAATGTACCAGAATTTTACTAGAAGAAGTAATTCTAGAGACAAATGCAGGTACACAATAGAGAGAGAAGATAGAATATCTAGAACTTCTTAAGACACAGATAATATTTGTAAGTGAATGTAAGTAGTAGGGATGTAACGGTACACAGAAGTCACGGTCACACTGGGGTTTGGACATCGCAGTTAGGATCAACAGGGAAAAAAGTAACAAAAACACAATGCATAAGGCTATATTTCTTTTTATTTATTTTGAACAGACTGTAGTGCAAGTTACCTTGGTAGCTTCCTTCCTTAACTCTCACTCACTGTTCAAGCACCTCAACTTATCCTCACAGCTGATCAGGAGTTACAAGTTATGAGTCTACTGCAGTTACCCCTGATAGACCGAATCATTTTGCACTAGCTGCAGACGAAGCTCCGTGAACTGGCGCTGCTAAAAACTTACCAATGGTTTACATATCAAGGGTAGAACTCACGCTTGTTAAATCTTTGCACATACCACATATTCTCCATATGATGCATGCACCAAACCACAACGTCCATACTGTGACGTTTCGGGACAAAAACGTGTAGCGTTACACCACTAGATATTAAAGGAATTCTTTAGCAGATGAAATGCAAATACGCATGTATGAACTGTTAGGCTTTGTGGACAACTAATTAAACTATGAGGCAATGATCCTCACTTGTGAAATTTTACAATTAAAGAAACAAAGATTGCCTATGTTGTCGTTAGCTGACCAATTGCTAATTGCTTTCGCTATGTCAGTAGAGTAGTGCTAGCCAATCATGTTGTCATTCTCCTCCATACATTTTCCTTGTAACATTGCATGAGTGCCAGCTGAAAAATCAAAAATCAGGACCAAGAGGAAACCAGAGACAGTCACAGAGGAAGCACATTGGTTTTAATGCAAAAGTGATACTTTGTTACATCTTATGTTAAAAGTTTGTAAATAAAACTGCATTTTTCAGAGAAATAATGCAAAAACTTTACTCAGAGAAACTAAGACATGTCATCTGTGGATCTCCTGCCAAGTTTTGTAAAATGTGGCTACCATTTCTTGATTGTGTGCATGCTAGGGAGTAACCCTAAACTTAAACGTTTCACTCGGGGTGGCTTCACTGTTACACAATAAATAAAAAGTTAAAATATTTATTTAAAAAATGTGTTTATCAGTAAGTTTCTTTTTTTTCCCTAGGTTCTCTGACTGCACTAAAACATCACAAGGATGATGTACAGATTGTGAAGACAGGCATGGAGTGCGGTATTTCTTTGGATAAGGTCATTGAGTTTAATGTTGGAGACGAAATAATCTGTTATGAGGAGATTGAAAAACCACAGAGAATATCTTGGGATCCAGGGTTTTAAAGGACTGTCTAGAAAAACAGGGAAATCCTCAGCCTCAAGGAGACCACTGTTGCCTACAAAACATTGTTGCACGTGTCAAAGTATTCAAAAATGTTTGGTAGGTTCTCCAGATTTCACTGACTACTTGAGTGTAATGTAGTTAATGATTAAAATAAATTTGTAAGAATGCAACATTTTTTCCCAAGTAACCTTCCATGCTTGGATTGTTCAGGTCATCCTGAAATGCAACGCAAAATCATGTTTTATTTCAATTGAGTGAGGGTAAAATTCAACATGGGCAGAATCAAACTATTCTATATTTATTAAGTGAACTACTTTTGTTGAATAGTATGCTCATATATGTGACTAAAGCATATGCCCCTTGTTTTTATTGATGTTTTGCTTTCATTTCATTTTGGCTCAGTTAATGTGTGGTCATGGAAAGAATGCAGTGAACATGCTTTGTTATAAGTTATGCTTGTCAAAAATTAGGAGCATGACAAAAATATTCTTCACATTTTAATGCATTGTACTTTTTGTATTGCAATTTCATATTAGCATGGATAATCTTCCATGTATTATGTGAATAACATGCATTGTCAGCCAAAGGCACTTTATTCTGCTCAATGGCCCTGGGGCAATGTCAGTCTTTCAGGATTGTAGTAATCAAAAATGTTCCAAAGCTTATACGTTTTGTCCTATGGACATTCTTCTCTCAATTATTACTGGATTTAAAACAATTTGTGTTTTTAATGTTAATTCAGTACAGACTCTCTATACTGTAATACACCCTGATAAGCTGATTTAGGCTATCAAAATATCCTAATTATTCTTTTAATGATGGAAACATTTTCAGATAAGAACATTTTTCAGGTTCTTGTTCATTTTTATTTGGTGCAGGAAACCTTAAATGGTTTTGAAGGTGGAGCAGTTATTATGGGAAATGGAAAATTCTCTACCATTTAAGGTGGAATGGAAAAATCTTATCAATAAAAGGCAGATTTCAGCTTCATAGTTTCAAAGCAGGTAGTATTTTTTGATAAGGTGATTTAAGCTATCAAAATATCCTATCTAGATAAATATGCCCTACAGTAGGACATTTCAGTAAGCTTTACTTTTGTCTTGCTTAGTGACATCAAACTGATGCCCAGCAGCATTAGCTTGCATGTAGCAATATTAGTCCTATGACTGTTTAACGACTTCATAATTCTGAGGATCCAGGGAGAAAAATGTACACAGGACAAAGCATATCAGGTTCTGAACTATTTGATTTATGAAAGTGTGCAATAGAGGTGATATTTTTCTTTTGAAGGCCCTATTCATTTTGGCCATAGAAAATTCTACAAAAGCTGTTTGAAAAACACCAATTTTAAACTAGTCACAGTTTACATCTGATAATCTCAAATCTGGTTTGAAACAAAACCTGCAGTCTGAAAGCAAATATTTATCAAAAGTAAATGCTGCAAAATGTAATCAATCCATCTAGGCAGAATTTCTGTGACTCCATTTGCTGCAAATTGAGACTAAATTTGATGCAGACATACAAAAAAAATACTCTGAAGAAGGATGCCAATTGTTATCTATATCTTACAATATTGAATCATGTATAAATTATGTAAACCTAACATAGCTCTCGCTCAGTTTAAATAAAAAAATGCAAATGGTATTAAAATACTCAAGTTTTTAGTCTGAAAAAATATATGATGAATATAAGGCACTCTAACATTATGCTTTACATACATTTTCAAAATAGCGCAATGACAATAATGTATCATCCAACTGACACTAAACTTGAGTTATCTGCTCAATGCCTAATGTTGAAATAGAGTGCAAAGGTCGGTGGACTTGTGTTAACAGTGGGGTGTTAAAACAACAATTCCACAAGCTTCATAATCTTAGACATTGAAAAAAGGGCTCAGGAGCTCAGGGTGCAAGGCTAGTTCAAACCCAAACTACTTGCCTCCCTCAAGTCCAGTTGCAGGATTAAAGACCCAAGACCCCATTCAACATTTACAGTATAACCAAGCATTACCCCAGTCCCTCACTGTTACATTTTTGCTGAACACCAAGAAAGTGCAATCCGATCATTTCAGTTTTTGGGCTTGGTACGAAATGTCATTTCAGAATGAGAGAACATTTAAAATTGATACAGGCATGCTTACAAGCACCGATCCACATATCAAGTCTGATACACTAGACACTACCTTTTTCCAAAATTCAGTAAACAGGTGGACATTCCCGAATCATATGGATAAAAGTACCAGGGACCTTCATAGGGCACAGGCTGCATATGTAGCCGGTCCTCTCAGCTCAGAGCTGAAGCTACACCAACCTCTCTCCAGCAGTGCTCTAACCAGACTGAAGAGAGTGTGTGTGACGCACCAGATGACATCACAGCAACGCCCACAAAAATATATAAAATAAAAAAATATATATATATCCCAATTTAATCTATTATTTAAATAAATGCAAACAGAGGAGGCATGAAAATTTTTAGGGAAACATAATGAAAGAAAATAAAACCCGTTACATTCTCCTCCCTCTGACTTCACTAAAATCTTCAAAGCTACTCACATTGGACCAGCATAAGCTCACATGAATCTATTCTATATTCTGCGATGAGTGCAACCTTTTTGAAGGTTAAGAAGAATTTTAAGGGTGATCAGGCCTCAATAAACTTCCTAGAATAGTATGATGCCGTGTACACCATACAACCTACTGACTGTTCACTAACAAAGTGGTCCTTTAGGAAAAGTGTGACAACAACTTAAAGTAGTATAATCCCCACTCTTTCTTTCTTTGTATTTTTTTTTTTTAAACAATGTAAGTAACGACTGGGTTTTTTTGCTCATTGAATTTTTAATAGTCTTAAAGCTGAACTGCTTTTGGGCCATTGTTTCAATTAGACGGTTGACCTTTTTCACTACCCTACTAGTCCGTGTGATCTGACAATTTGTATTTTCTACACCTGGACCATCTTGGTCTGTTCCTTGGCCAGGTGCTGACAGGCGAGAAATAATTCTGGAATCTGAGTTGTGTGGGTCTCTGGAGTCTGTGTCAGGAACACTGTAGTCACTGTCCCTGTTATCTAAGTCAGTGTTAGTCTGAGGTTGAGGACTTTCTGAAGTCGAACTTCTGCCATCAGAAAATTTACCACACTGACCAATCTGTCTTGACAAGTTTTGGTTCTCCTGACTTAACTCAGTTTCACTCCCACACCAGGACCTTTGTCCTTGAGGGTAACTTGACCCTTCCAGCACCCACAGGCTTGTTCTGTCCTCACAGTCCTCTTCTGGACTGCAAACAGACATCATTAGTCCCCAGACTTTCTGAATCATCAGCTGGGAACACCTCACTTCCATCACAATCACATGCAAGAGGCAAGTAACTAACATCCAGCAAGAGGTTGCGATGTACCACTTTCGTAGCTCCACCCTCACTCTGCAACTTATAAGTGTGCATTTGAGGGTTCCGGCTGACAATGGTATATACGGATGCTTCCCAGCGGTCCGCAAGCTTTCTCTTTCCGCGCTCACCTTTGTTAGCCACCAGCACATGATCCCCTACTTTAAGGTAGGTGCCTCTTACTCTCTTGTTGTAACCTTGTGCTTGTTTCCTTTGCTCTCTGGTGGCATGCTGTTGCGCAATTTTCGATGCTTCTCGAGGTAGGACATAAGGGTCTTCACATATTCATTATAGTCAACTACTACAGGGTCCCTGAGGACATGTTGAAACATCACGTCTACAGGAAGTCGTGGGACACGTCCAAACATCAACTGGAATGGAGCGAAACCAGTTGTCTCATGAACAGTGGCATTATATGCAAGAGTCAAAGTTTGAATCTGTTGGGGCCACTGCTGTTTAGTTTTCAAGGGCAAGGAATGCAACATATTGCCAAGAGTATGATTAAACCTTTCGGTGCACCCATTTCCCATTGGATGATATGCCGTTGTGTGTGATTTCACAACACCAGACAACTTCAGCAGTTCTGCAATAAGATCACTCTCAAAATTGGCTCCTTGGTAAGTGTGTATACGCTGGGGAAACCCGTATATACAAAAACGTGGTCCCATAATTTTCTAGCTATTTGTTTAGCTGTTTGATTTGTGCACGGGAAGGCATGTGCCAATTTAGTAAAGTGATCCGTGACCACAAGTACATCTACTGAACGCTGTTTATTATCCTCGGCACACCAGAAGTCCTAGCATACTAGCTCCATGGGTGCAGAAGTTTGTATGCTCTCCAGTGGAGCCCTAGCAGACGGTTCTGGGGTTTTAGCAAGGATACACCTTTTGCAACACTTGACATACCCTTGTATATCTCGTTCCATCTTAGGCTAATAAAATCGCTGTCTGGCCAACTGAAGTGTCCTTGACTGCCCTTGGTGCCCCACCAAAGCATGGATACCACTTAATGCTTTGTCTCAAACTTTGTGGAAGAACATACTGATGTCTGTTATGTTTACTTAAGGGGTCCTTAGACACCCTGTAAAGTATGCCGTCTTGGATTCGAAGTCTCTCCCATTGCTTGGCTAGAACAAGAGCATCCGAAGAGAGCTTAGCCTTTTCCCGTCTGGAGGGTCGTCTTTTGTGCATAACGAAAGGAATAATCGGAAATATGATTGGGTCTTGTTCCTGGTCGTGCTGGAGCTCTTTCAAAGAAAACATTGGAAGTACGTTTTGACCTGATACCATGAACTGCTAAACTGACTGGACCAATTGTACCGCACGGGTCTCTGCTGCTGTTTCACAATTACTATGAGATTCATAAAGGGCTTGTACATTATCTGCACTAACAGAGCTTGAGCAAGGAACAGCCTTGGATGTCTGGACTGAAGTGGTGATAGGTTCTGCCCTGTGACACTGCACCTTCAACGCCCTCAGCTTCAGACAGGAGATTGCTATATTGCTCGTTAAGATGTCTGCGACCAATGGTCTTTGCGAAAGGGTCCCGGCTGAGTGCGTCAGCCACAATGTTTTGACTGCCTGGAATGTGCTTTATGTCAAATGTGTAAGGGGCCAGCTTTGCAACCCAACATTGCTCGCACGCATCAAGTTTAGGTTTTGTCATTATGTAGGTTAATGGGTTGTTGTCTGTCCATACAGAAAACACCTGTCCCTTGAGCCAGTGACTAAATTTTTCACAAATACTCCATTTCAGAGCTAGGAACTCCAAACGATGAGTCAGGTACCTTTTCTGTGAAGAGAGTTTTGCTGGCGAAAGCAATTGGTCTTGCTTTAGTTTCACTTGCCGGTATTTGTGAAAGAACAGCCCCCAACCCATCCAAAGAGGCGTCTATAGATAGAATTAGAGGTTTAGTAAAATCTGGGTGCACCAAAACAGCACAATGCAGCAACTTGTCTTTGAGAACATTTAAGGCCTGAATACACTCAGGGGTCCAGTCTGTGGGTTTCAGCCTCCTGAAAGCACCAGCTCGGTTTGCTGTTTTCCTTGTATTTCTTCTTCTCTGCCCAGCTGTGAGGGCAAAGAGAGGTTTTGCAACAGCTGAGCAGTTTGGTATAAAATGTTGATAGTAGAATATCATCCCCAGGAAGGATTTAATTCTCTTTACAGATGGAGTGACACCATCTTCCTCCATGAGATCAGTTGTAGAAATTTTCAGATATCACACTAACCTTCTCAGGATCCACAGCCACTCCATCACCACTAATGACATGTCCCAAAAACCTCACAGATGTATGCAAGAAATGACACTTCTTCTGGCTTAACTTCAGATTGTGCTGACGAAGTCTCTGAAAGACTACTTCTAGTCTTTCTAATGCCTCTCTTTCTGTGAATGCAAAGACCAATAGATCGTCTAAACACAGCAGACTGCCAAAGTTCAAATCGCCAAATATGCTTAACATCATCCACATGAACGAGGCCGGACTGTTCGAAAGCCCTTGTGGCATACAGTTATACTCATGTAGGCCCAGCGGTGTGGTAAACGCTGTGTACTTCTTGTCTTCCTCATGCATAGGAATGTTGTAAAAGCCCAATGTTAAGTCCATGTTACCACCTAAGGCCGCCAAACAATCTGACTGGTGAGGTAGATGATGTGCACCCTTCAATGTACAAGCATTAAGCCATCTGAAATCGGTGCATATTCTCAAACTGCCATCCCTCTTCCAGACCATTACCAGTGGAGAAGCATATTCACTGACAGACTTCCGTATTATTCCTTGTTCTTCCATTTCTGTTAAAACCTGTCGTAATTTCTGGTAATGTGCAGGGGGAACCCTTC